GTCACTTTTAAGTCTCTGTATACTGACTGATTTTTCTCCTGATTATGAGCCATAGTTTACTGCTTCTTTGCATTTTTCGTACTTGGATGCATTACATTGTAAATATTATATTGTTGACTGTCTGGATTTTTCTATCTTTCCTCAAAAAGTGTTAAACTTTGTTTTAGCAGGCAGTTCAGTAACTTGAAGATCAGCTTGATCATTCCAAGCCTTCTTTTTAAGCTTTCTTAGGGCAGGTCTAGAGTACCTATACTCTAGGGCTAGTTTGGCCTACTCTTAACTCTAAGGTGTGGCTTTTATAGAGTCTCTACTGAATGTTCCAGGTTTCTCCACTCTAGCTGGTCAGAACTCGGGCATCTCCCAACCATGTGTGAGCTCTGATAGCTATTTAGTTTGTGCATCTCTGGTAGTTGTTTTTGGATTCACCTCATGGGGTTTCGCCCTATGCATGAATAATAACATACATTAGTATTCAGCCAGAGCCTTATGGGGGAGTTTCTATGTCAATTTCTGGAGCTCTTCTTTACACAGCTCCCTCCTCTCTGGTACCATATATTTGGTCTTGTTTTCTAGTTGGTTTTATGGGTAGGGAGCAAGTTCAGTGCCAGGTACACCAATGTTGCCAGAAGTGGAAGTTCTCCCCAGTGACTTAGATGCACAAGAATGGTTGGGGAATGTATTATTTTGCTGGGGCTGTACCCAAGTACCACAAACTGAATGGCTTAAATAGAAATTTGTTGTCTCACAGTTCCAGAGGCTAGAGGTCTGAGATCAAGGTGTAGGCAGGGTTGGTTCCTTCTGAGGGCTATGAAGAAAGGGTGTGTTCCAGCCCTCTCTCCTTGGCTTGTTGATGGCTGTCTTCTCCATCTGTCTCTTCACAATGTCTTCCTTCTATGCAAATCTGGGTCCAAATGTTTCCTTTTTATAAGGACACCAGTCATATTGTATTAGGGCCCACTCTAATGACCTCATTTAACTTAGTAAAGACCCTGTCTCCAAATGCAATCACATTCTGAGGTCCTGGAGGGTAGGACTTCCACACTTGAATTTAGTGGGGACACAAGTCTGAATCCCTCTTCCCTAGATACTAAAGTGGTGGCAATTTTCCAAACCTGCCATTGTACAGCACCCACCTCGGCCTTGCAGGTGCTTGCCCCTTTATTTCACCTAGTGGGTCACTCTCTATCAAGAAATAAACTAGGAGGTGTTTGTAAACTGTGAAATCAGCATGTTGGTTTAAGAGAAGAGCAACACATAGCTTTTACTCTCAGAAGGATGAGATTCAATGGTTCCTCTAACAATTCCATCAAAATGAGCAGGACTGTGGTCGTTTTAGCCTCCCTCAGATTCTAGAAATGAGCACAAACACTTTTCCACAAAGTTACAGGATGTTGCAGGTTTTTGTTGTTGGAGATGACACTGGTGGGGTGGCAATGAGTCAGCTTGGTGGCTGTGGCAGGAAAGACTGATGAGAAATGGATCTTTTGATGGTCAGAGCTGGAAAAGCCCTCAGAGCCCATCAGTGTACAGTGGTGGAACATGGGCTCCAGATGGGAAAAGCATTTTCTCCAGGGAAAGTGGTGTCTTGTGCCCTGGGGGCTAATGCTCCCATTGTCATTTTATGTTAATTGCAAGTTAATAATGTTTTGCTGTCCATTTTTCATTGGTTCACTGCAATTATGCCATAAGGGAGATGGGACAAGGTTTATTATCTCTACTTACAGGTGGCAGGACTGACGTTCACAGCAGTAGAGTTAATTGCTCAGGGTCACCCAGAAAGTCAGAAGTAGAATCAGAATTCAAACACAGGTCTCCTGACTTTCAGTTCACCTGCCCCTTTTTTGCACTCTATTTCTCTGAGTCATCATTGTGGATACTTGTTGGCACAGTGATTCTGCTTTCTAGATCCTCTTGGCCCAAGACACGCTCATCTTCACAGTCTATCCTGAACTGTTGGCCTCATCCTTTTCTATCTTGGCTTCCCAAGCTGCTCATGACCTGCCCAGCAGAAGGAGGCCCAAGGGGAGAAGGTGGAGTCCAGCCCAACCATGGAAGCCAGCAATCCTGCTTTGTAAAATGTAAACATCTCCCCAATAAGAAGAGACAGAAGCTCTGTTCTGCATGCCTTTGTGAGCTTACCAATGCCCTACCAGACCAGCACCCTTCTGCCTTTCGTGCAGAGAGCCTGACACATAGTGGGTATTCAGTAACCGTTTATTGAAGGAATCCATGAAGATGTCCTGTACAGAGGAATTATTTTAAAATCCTTTTTATCCTAAAAGAAAACAAATATATCAAACCACATAAAACAATTGTATGGCCTAATGAATTATTATTAGGTAAGCCCCCTTGTAACCACCCACCAGTTGAAAAATAAAAAAATAACTTTGCCTCCATATGCCTTATCTCAATCACAATGTCCTCCTTTTCCCCATAAGTAACTACTGTCCTGACATGTATGGAAATCTTTGCGTTTTTTTATGTTCTTATCACTCAAATGAGCATCCCCTAGGCACTATAATTTAGTCTAGCACATTTAAAACATTTTTATTACCTTTTAAGTCTCATTCAATCCCTACATCCCCTCTTCTGTCCTTTCTTTTTCTCATCATTTATCTGTTGAAGCATCCGGGCCTTTGAGCTGCAGAATTTCCCACAATCTGGCTTTTGCTGATTGCACCCTCCTGCCAGCCTATCGAAGGCACAGAATGTCTGCTTGCTTCTCTTCCTGACTTAGCAACTCTTGGTGCTTAATACCTCTACAGTCCCTGCTAATTTACTGGGGACAGCGAAATGGTGAGACTCTAATTCCAACGTTTGTTTTGTCCAGAATGATGCTTGATTCTTCCCCCTTGCTTACCGGTGTGCAAGAAAATGAAGTGGTTCCTTCGTATCCTTTGAGGGTGACAAATTCTTTTTTTCTTTTTTAATATCGTGATGAACTCATGGATATAAACACATTTGATGAATCTCAAGCCACTGTAATTATTATATTTATTAAAGCTCAAATTCTTCCATCTTTGTCCAGTGGCTTTGTCCAGATTGGCTTCTGAGTCCTTTTGACATGACCCTAGTCATCTTTGATAACTTTCTTTGGCACTGTTTCACTGTAAACTTTGGTGCTGGCTGACTGCTTTCGGAGGTCTTGGTCACATATCTCCCATTTTCAGAAGCCTATAAGCCTGGTGGGACAGGACTTACATGGTCTCCTCTTCCACCTACTTAGCAAGGAACTCCAAGAATACGTCATTTCTTCTTTTGCATAATCGCCACTTTTAGGTAGGGATTTAAAACTCTAAGGGAGGGCATGCTGGTGAGTTTGCATGATTTAGCAGGAAGATTACGCTATATCCTATTCAAGTTCCTGGGTGACTATTCTTTTCTGTTTCTGCTCTCATGCCTGCCTTCCAGTTCTGCTGATCTACATGCACTTACCCAAAGCTTCGTGCCTCTTTCATCTTGATGCCTTTGCACATGCTGCTTCCTCAGCCCTTCTTCAGTCTCAGCTTAGCCATCACTTCTTCCTGGAAGCTTCCCCAGACCCACCGATCTGATAGAGATGTCTCTCTTATGTGTTCTTATAGCATTTTGGCTTTCCCTTATCATAGCACTTGTCTTGCTGACCGCAGTTGTCTGTTTATCCATCTACCCACTTTCCTGCTGCTCACGAGACTGTGAATGGCAGGACCTGCAGCTTGTTCACCTCTGTTTCCCCAGTGTCAGCATGGTGTCCAGCATATTAGTAGGCTATCAACAGATCATTGTTGAACGAATGAGTGAAACCCAGACTTGTCCACATCATTCTCTTCCTTGCACTCCTACTGCTCCCGGTTGACTCCTCTACTAGCACGCTCCTTGCCTGGGGTTGAAACCTACCTCCCTCCCCATCCCAGCTGGATAGCAATCTCTCTTAGGGACCAGCTCTAACCCCCTTCTCTATCTCTACCATCTGGCAGGATGCACGGTGACTCGGTGTTACTTCTTTCCCCAACACTGTTATTTAAGGATAAGAAATTTGTTTCCATAAAACTAATAGCAGTTAACTTGAAACTTGTTTCTGCACTCAATTTAACTTCCTCTTTTAGAATCATTTTTGGGAAGTACAACAAAGTTCCTCTTCACATTTCCCTACCAAAGTGCCTTTTGAAAGTTTGGGGTCCCCCAGGCTCCCCATGAAAGCTTTCCTAGGCAGGCCCACATGGCATTCTCTCATTCCCCCGGCCCCTGCCCTGGGTCCACTCTGGCTCAGGGAATGCTGGTACTAGGCCTTATGTTCCATTGCCTCAGGCACTTTCAGAAGCCTGAGTTTCCCACCTCCCACACCCCAAACCCCAAAGTGACACTTGAGCTCCTTCTCTCATGGTTAGTGGCTGCACCCTATTCCATACCATGTTTTTGCAACAGGAATTTATTGAATCATTAATTCTCCTCTCCCTCCTGGATCACTCTCTTGAGCACACAAACATGCTGATACTTCTCTCAGAAAAAAAAGGGCTTTTTATTCTCAGGCATAATTGTAGGTCATTTGTGACAGTTGGCCTCTCCCTCTTCAGTGCTTTATCAGATTCTCTGCTGCCTCAGATCTCATGTTCTTCGGGCAGGGAGGGAGTTGAGAATGCTCCAAACGGTGGCTTTTCCTTTTCCCCTGGCCTCTTGGTCAAAGCTGGTGGGCTTATAAATGTGTCAGGCATAAATGAAGCTAGAGATACAAAAGACTTCCTGTCCCAGTGGTCACCATGCCTCCTGGCAGAACCCCACACTTCCTGCTGTCACACATGCCACTGCATAGGAGAGCAAACCACAGAGCTATAAATCTCTCCACTTGCATTTGCCAACTGCAGCATCGAGCATCTCTGATGGAAGAAAGCCCTGCTTTCAGCCTGTGAGCCTGGTGCACGTGTCTGTTCTCTACAGCAGAAATCAAGGGTATGCTGTCCATTGGGGCTGGCCGGGTGGCATGCACTGAGCAAAGGGCACCTAAACATAAGATAGGGAACTTGAGGCAGGTCCTCACTCACTTCTGCCTGGCTCCAGGAGATGACAGGGAAGTTTACAGATACTGAGGACTCCTTCGAATGGCTGGCGGGGCTATGGTCAACTGCAAAGACCTCTTTCCCCAGGCCTCATACCCAAGGGGATAGGTCATCCCTTTATCTGTTTGGATTTACACCTCTCCTTGGTACTGTCCGCAGCAAACATTTTAGATCAAGGGTGAGTGGGGAGCCGAGAAGCTCCCCCTCGGTAGCTCCAGTGGTGTGCCAAGCAGCCTGCCATATCTTGGTTCTGGTTTCTTTGGAGCATCAGTGCCTCCTTTCTTTTCTGAGCATGGACTAAGCTTTGCCTGATCAAAGCTTAGTCTTAGTTCAAGACTTGGCTCTTTCCAAGATTCCTATTGTGCTAAGGAAAGTTCCTTTCAATTGTTATAGTGTTTCTCAACAGGGCACTGATAGCTTTAGGCCAGACAATTCCTGTACCCACCAGCCTTTATGACAAGCAAAACACACCTATTTTCAGAGTCCCCCTAGGGCATCTCAATGCCTGGTTGAGAAGCACTGTTACTTAGAGGGTGAATGCCTAAGTGTCTTCCATCTTTAAAAAAAAATCCCTTGACCCCAGAGCTCTCCCTCTTGGGGAGTTTTATAGAAAGACAGTCATATCAACTTCAGTTAATGATAATCCTCTCTCTTCTCCAATGTAGATGATTTTTCTTTTCTTCTTGAGCAGTTCTCTAGAAGTTAAACAACAGCGTTAAATGATACTGACAATGGCGGGCACTTGTGATTTGCACCTGATTTTAATGTATGATGTTGGCTTTTGGATTAAGATAGACAGTGGTAAGAAAGCTTCCTTGTTCTTCATTGCTAAGATTTTTTTTTTAAGGCCCGAGTATAAATTAATTTGTATCACATGCCTTTGCTGCATCGATTGTGATAATTGCATAATTCTGGTCCTGCGGCCTCTGGGTGTGAATCTCATTACTACACTCCTCAATAATGGCCCAGTCTTTAAATACTTGAAGATGGTGCACTAGTCCTTTAATCCAAAGCTGGAGGGACTTTGTGCTTCACTGTTAGATTGGCTGATTTACTTCTTTTCTGCTGTCCTTGTCATGAAATAGGTTCTTGGCAGAGTCTGAGAAACGAGAGCAATTGGTCCAGTAACCCCTTGTTGAATTGCCTCTCTGCAGGCCTGGCGCAAGCGCTGGTTTGTCCTGCGGCGCGGCCGCATGAGCGGCAACCCCGACGTCTTGGAGTACTACAGGAACAAGCACTCAAGCAAGCCCATCCGCGTGATAGACCTCAGCGAATGTGCAGTGTGCAAGCATGCGGGCCCTGGCTTTGTTCGCAAGGAATTTCAGAATAATTTTGTGTTCATTGTCAAGACTACTTCTCGTACATTCTATCTAGTGGCCAAGACTGAGGAGGAAATGCAGGTGTGGGTGCACAGCATCAGTCAGGTCTGCAACCTCAGCCACCTGGAGGATGGTGCAGGTGAGAACAGAGTTGGAGCTGCTGTGTGCTAAGGGGTGGCCCGGGATGCTGCATGGGAAAACTGTTCAAGGTGCCACTCCTGCCTCCCAAGGGTGTTTTGGCAGGCTAATTTACATCAGAACTGTTCCCACCAAGTCCAGTACCAGAAATTGCTCCCTTTCACCTGGTTTGAGGTTTCAGGTCCGAATGTGCCACACATGGAGATTTACAGGTGACTTCAATGGCTTCAAGGCTGTTCTGTGCCCTTGCCCTCATCAGCCACAGAGAACGCATCCTGCTGCTGATTTCCTAGAAATATTAAATATCACCGTTTTTCAAAAATTCATGGAATTTCAGCTTTTCTGTTGCCTATTGGGTTGTTCAGCACTAGACGTCAGAAAGACAGAACTTGGCTACTTGTCATAGGCATGGAAGAATTCTTCATGTCTCCAATTGGCTCAAGTCTCTGCAAGGGAAATTACCCTAAGTTTGCTCTGGGCCGTTTCTGGGCAGTGGGAGCAAATGACCCATGGGGCTCTTTCTCCCTCTTCCTTTCTCTCTCACTCTCACTCTTGCTCTCTCTCTTTCATACACGTACACACACGCATGCGCGCGTGCACACACAAACACACACACACTGCCCATTTTAATATACCAGGGTTAATGCACCCAGGGTGACAATTCACTCCCCTTCACAAATTTTGTTGTTGAGACTCTAGCATCATCGCACCATGCCCTGACCTTCAAACTATGGGACTTTGAATCTGATTTCCTTTAGTAGACAAAAATCTTACCCCTAAATCCCATGGCCTACAGTTGCTTCAACATTTCCACCATTACTGCTTGTTCTCTGCCACTGAAATATCCACATTATAACGCTAGGTGGTGGTAGAGAGTCAGAGTTGCATCTCTCTCCAGGACAGGCACTTGAGAGAGCGCTTCCTAAGGACAAAGTCCTTTCCTTCTCATACACCAGGGAAGCTTATTAAGTGAAGCTACTCAGTCACATTGCTGAACTTTGAGAGCACACAAATAATAGGAAATGAAATGGTGGGAAATTCTTTATCATTGCTACAAACTACGAAACTTGTTGCAAAGTTGCAGTGAATCTGTCCTGGCGAGAGTCCAATACTATGCAAACAAGCAGAGCCTCCCCAAGCAACTCTCCAGCCTTGCCTCTCACTCTTCACCACCTTAGTCCCTACCTTCAGCCCAAACTAGATATGTATTCCTGTGTCATGTTATGTGTGTCCTCTGTTTCTTTCCTCATCCAAGAATTATCCTAAAACATAAATACATAACATGTTTCCCAATATCTGAAAAGGAATGAGAATGAGTAAGGTACCAGGCAGAAAACAGAAAGCCCTGGGGTGAAGTTGGAGGAAGCCAGAAACCCCCCATGACCTCTTTTGTTCCCTGTAGGCCCCCTCAGTTTTTAGGAAGAGCAGAGTAAGGACAGAGTTCTCTTCATCTGAGAACCATGTCCAAAGTGCTTTCTTGTGGCTTTTCACATACAGTGTTTGGTTCTGTCTCCAGCAACCACAGATAGTCAACACATCATGCCTGAGTACTCTGACCAGGAGCTCTGTTAAATGCTTTTGCGTATTAGCTTGCCTTATCCCCAGACCGATTCTGTGGCATATGTACTGTTAGCATCTCCACTTTACAGAGAAGGAAACTTGCAGCAGGCATTTAACTTGCCCAAGGTCACAACAGCTAGATGATACAGGAATCCTGAACTCCTCCCGACTTGGTTCAAAGGAGAAATAAAACCAGGCTATTCATTGGGAGTTTCTGAATGTTGTGTTCCATGAGAAATGTGGGCTTTACCAGCCATCACAACACCCTGTTTCTTTCCTTCCTTTTCCTTATGTGTCATTAACAGTATTCTTTATCTATGTGTTACTCGTCCGTCTCCTCTGGTGGGCTGTAAACTCCAGCAAAGGCAGAATTAGAACAGTTCCAGGTACATAATAGCTACAATAGTAGGTATTCTATATAGACATAAATAGACATATGTATCTCTATATGCATACATACATATATGCATAAATGCATATGTAAGTATAGACATATATTTGTTATGCATAAATATATGTGTGTGTGTATATGTATATTTGTTGAGTGAATAAACAGTGATGCAGGGCTGTGGCTGAGGGCCATAAAGAAGCTGTGTGTAGACTTTCTAACTGCAGATATTTTGGCCAAGAATGCTTGTTTTTTTTGTTGATTTTTTTTTACTCTTAATTGATTCAACACTTCACTCTTGGAACATTGGCCTTCTTTCCCAGACATTGTTTATAGCTTGAGGAAATTGTCTCCTCCATCAGTACAAACACCAGCTGTGATTTGCGTCTTCTATTTGGCTTCTTAGATGCTGTTTGAGAAATTGTGAGTGAGTGTTAACCTGGGAAATTATTCCTCCAGCAGATTCCATGGAGAGCCTCTCTCACCTGCCCTCCTCCCTTCACATGGCCCATGCTGTCAGCTCCTCCTTGCCAAGAGATGACCCAAGCACTAGTACCATAGCCACTGAGGAAACCAGAAGTGAGTCAGAGTTTCTCTTCCTTCCTGATTATCTGATTCTGTCCAACTGTGAGACTGGAAGACTGCACCATGCCAGGTATGCTTCTGTGCACGACTGTCTCTGAGCTGGCTCCCCTCTGTTTACAGAACCCACACTGTCTCCTCTCGCGGGGTCTGTCACTGAGATATGCTCGGTGTGCTTGACCAAATCAGTCCATTTAGCCATAGCATCTTCCAGTGGGCGTATCTGCCCTCACTTCTCTTCCGCTGCTGCCAAGGTGGGGACAGATCACTATTAACCACTGTGAAGGTTGAAGCACGCAATATACTAAACAAAATGAGTCATATATTTCAGCATTGTGGCTTTCATTTCTAACCTTGCATTTTCATATGCATCTGACTTTTATAGTATGAAAAAAGTCAACAAACTATTTTTTCCTGTCTCAAGGGGTTGGTGTAACAGAGTTGTAGAGAGAACGTGGCTATACAAGTAAAATAAAAGGTACTATTAAAGGGATGGGAGTGAGGCCAACATGGGTTTTTATGGTGGAAGGATGACTTTCTTCTTCAGACTTCTGCAAAGGGTATAGTGGTAGTGTTGCTGTGGTACCAGCTATGGCTGCCAGGGACTTGCTACATTTCAGTCAAATTTACATGCTTTTCTTCCCTCAGTCTACCCACCAGATGTGATAGCTGGTCAAACTCAGACCGCTCATTGGAACAGACTTCATTCGATGATGTTTTTGTCGACTGTCTGCAGCCGCTGCCCTCTAGTAACTTGGTCCACCCCTCACGCCATGGGAATGGATCTCAGGAGGTGCCTTCCACGAGGGCTCAGGCTGCCCTAATCTGGAGTAGAGATATTAATGGGCCATCCAGGGACCACTTTTCTTCACCATTGCTGCAAACTTCCTTAAATTCCACCATTCAGGTAGATAAAAACCAAGGTTCCTTGTCCTATGGGGTAAAAGAAGTAGACATTATGTCCAACACACCACCTCCCCGACCCCCTAAGCCAAGCCATCTCTCTGAACGGCGCCAAGAGGAGCAGCTCCTATGGAGTGGGCACAGCAACGTCAAAAAGGCAGACAGCGCTATGGTACCAAGAAGAATCTCCCTCTCTGGTTTAGATCACATGAGAACCTGGAAAGGTAAGCTTTGGATGTTAACATTCGGGTCCAGAGAGAAGCTTGGCTCCTCTCCCCTCCTTGCGTTCATGTGAGGACGTGGCTCAGTGTCCCTTGCTCAAGCTGGTTCAGTATCCCAGTGGGGCCAGGCCCTTGGTGGAAGCACATAGCCTGAATGCTAGGAACTCTCCTGCTCCCAGGGTCCACCCTCTCCTTTGAATCTGGTCACCAGGAGATACTTGGGTCCCTGTAAATGCTGAAAGAAGTCAGAGCCCTAGTCCCTCAGCCATGCCCCTGCCCATGTGGTGGGCTCCCCACCTGAGACTAAAGTCCTGGTGTTTGCTTGGAGTCAGCATCATTCATTATCCCAGCTGACATGTTCTTTCCAAATTCTAACTGTAAAGCCGTTTATTCTCATGAGGTTGCCTTGCTTTCTTTCTCTCTCTCTCTTGCTCTCTCTATCCAAGTATAATCACTCCGACACTGCTACTGATAAAGCCATGTTTTAAAGGAATAATGGAAGCTTGAGGAATGCAAACTCATTTCAATTTGTATACATCTCTCATTCTGACTGAGGAACTAAGTCACTCTGGCAAAGACCCCCCCCAATGTCCCTAGTGATGTCACCATTACATGTGTTACTTCCTTCTGACAACCTCCATGAACTGAATATATGCTGATTACACAAAGGTCTTAATGTGCTAACATGTGTGAACAGTGGACAAAAAGGGAAAACTGAGAGAGGAGGTAAGCAGATTTTGGAAAGTGAAATGAATAAAACCAGTAGAATAATAGAATATGAAAATGAATTAAAAGTCTCAAATTGAAGAACAAAAAAGTTGAAATAATTTAAAATTTCAAGACAGACATAAAACAATTAGGTTGTGTTCTTTTACACGAAGGCAAACAAAGGCTAAAACTCATTAAAATATGGGTTTTGACCATGAAACAGAGAGCCAAACAGCAGTGGTAGACAGAAGCAAAATGATCTGATAAAGCAGAGGGAACAGGTCAAATCGATTGCTCTGCCTTCCCCATTGAGGTCCACCTGGAATCAATGTTTGTGTGTGGCGGCAGAGTGGGGTCAAGGTTCATTACTGTCCATGTGGATCTCTATCCAGTGACCAGGAACCCTTGATTGGAAAGGTTGTCAGGTTCCCAAGGTCCTCCAGTGCTCCCTCTGTCATAAATGAACTGTCTGTGTAGGTGGGGGTCTGCGTCTCAGCTCTGCTTTCTCTCCCGTTGGGCCCCCTGTTCCAGCCTGCACCAATGCCACACTGTTGGAATTATTGTACTTTTCTATCTTGATATCCAGTAGAGGAAGTCCTCCCACTTGTTCTTTAAGAGTGCCATGCCCATTGTAGGCCAATTTTAAAGTCAGCCGGTCAGATTCCAGACATACATATACAAAAATATTTGGAATTTGAGGAGGATTGCATTGTATCTATAGATCAATTTGTGAAGATTTGACATCCTTACAATGTTGAGTTTCCAATTCGTGAACAGAAAATATCTTTCCATTTATGTAGATCTTATTTGATTTCTGTCTATAATGTTTTATGGTTTTTAGTGAAGCCTTGTGTATCTCTTATTAATGTATTCATTATTTTTTGTGTTACTGTCAGTGGTATTTTATTTTAATAACTTTTTTGTTGTATAAAATTAAATTCATTTTCTATTTTAATTTTGTATCTAGCTTTTCTGAACTATAGATTATTTTGCATTTTCTTCCTGTACAATCATATCACATGCAAATGCTAATAATAACTTTGTTTCTTCTTTTATAACACTTATATCTTTCACTTACTTTTTCTTAGGTCACTGGTTGGGCTAGGAAGTTCAGGACATTGTTGAATAGTAGTGATAACAGGTATCCTTGTCTTATTCCTGATCTCAGATGGAAAGCTTCCAACATTTCACCATTATATTGTGGTTTGCAGTAGATTTTTGTAGATACCATTCATTAGATTGAGGGCATTTTCTGATATTCCTACTTCGCTAAGTGTTATTTTTTTAATCATGAATGGATATTGAATTTATTGAAACATTTTATGATCGTATGCTTTTTCTCCTTCATCCTGTTAATGTGAAGAAGTTCATTGATTGATTTTTGAACGCTAAACCAACCTTGCATTCCTGAAGTAAACTCAACTTCATCATGAGGGGTATCCTTTTTATAAAATATTAGATTTGTTTTGCTCATATTTTGTTTTGAATTTGTTTTTTGATCTATGTTTCTGAGAGAGATTGTCCTGTAATTTTTTCCTTTTTATTTATCTTGGGATTCACTGGGTTTCCTGAATTTGAAGACCAGTGTCTTTCAACATTTCTAGAAAAATCTAAGCTATTATGTATTCAAATGTTGCCTCTTCTCCATTGTCCCTATTTTTCCTCTGAAACCCCAATTATATGTATTTTAGACATCCTACTTTATCTTGCATGTTTCTTATATTCTCTTTTACATTTTTCATCTCATTTCCCTGAATCCCAGTAATTTCTTTCAGTTTTTGAAGTCTTTCTTCAACTCTACCTAATCTACTGTATAACTCATATTTTTTTAATACATTTCTTTTTGAGGAAGATTAGCCCTGAGCTAACATCTGCCACCAATCCTCCTCTTTTTGATGAGGAAGACTGGCCCTGAGCTAATATCTGTGCCATCTTCCTCTACTTTATATGCCTACCACAGCATGGTTGACAAGCGGTGCGTAGGTCTGCACCCAGGATCCAAACTGGCAAACCCCAGGCCTCTGAAGCATAACGTGCAAATTTAACTGCTGTGTCACTGGGCCAGCCCCATGTATAAGTCATATTTTGAATTCAAATTTCATTAATTTTATAGGAATATATATTTATATTTCAAAATCATAATTCTAAAAAGGTACACAGAGTCCACTTCAGCAGCATATGTACTAAGATTGGAAAGATAAAGAAAAGATTAGCATGTTCCCTGCAGAGGGATGACATGCAAGTTCATGAAGTGTTCCATATTTTGCTTTCCTTTTCTAATGTTCATGGGTGGGGAAACTGAGGCTCTGATAAGCACAGTGACTTATCCAGTTGAGGGCCCTTCTAGCTTCAAACCCTATCCCCAATTCCTCCTCCTCCTCCTCCTCCAAAAAAGATGTACAATGAAAAATCTTTTTTGTACCTCTGTCTCCTGTTTGCTCTTTTCCAACCACCCATATCCTTCCAGAAAAATTTCTAGATATTCAAGAAAATATAGCTATATAGTCTGCATTTTAATGCAAATAGTAGCATTCTCACACTCCATTCTGTCCATTGTTTTTCATCTTAAGAATATATCTTGATGATTTTTTTTACATTGGTACAAATACTATAGCTTTTGATCCAGCAATTTCACTTCCAGGAATTTAGCCTACTGTTGCTATTAAGGGCAGTACTGGGACAGCAGCAGTGTTTGAATATGGACTGTATAGTAATTTTGATAGATGGTATAAATTGATCCAACTCCCATGAAGGGTAATCTTGGCTACAAAGTGCTTATTCATGTATAAATGATGTATGTACATGGTTCATGATTGAAAAATTATTTGTAAAAGAAAAGATTGGAATTAACCCAAATGTTCATCAATAGAGAACTGGTTAAATAAATTATTCTACATCCATTCAATGGAATGGCTCATATTTGTAAAAAAGAATCAGATGGTTCTCTATGTATATTAGATAATAGTGCTATATCAATGTCAAATTTGCTGAATTTGATTAAAGCACTGTGCTAATATAAAAGAATGTCCTTATTCCTAGGAGATAGATGCTGAAATATTTTGGAGTGAAGATTTCTGATTACTGCAACTTACTCTCAAACGCTTTTGAAAATATGTTAACATGCATATTATACACAAAGAAAAAGTTTATTTATAGAATCTTCTATATTAACTCACATGTTTGCCATTCTAATGTTCTTTATTTCTTACCATGGCTTTGAGTTACAATCTGTTGTCATTACCTTGCTCCAATATAGCTCCATTCTTTACTCCTTTGTGCTATTATAAAATATATTACATCTTTATATTTTATAGGCCAAAAAATACAGTTTTATATTTATTGTTTTATGTAGTTGTCTTTTAAATCAGTTAAGAGAAGAAAAGATAAAAATTTATTCTTCCAAAAAAAAAAATAAAAAAAAAATTATTCTTCCAGTGTCTTTTATATTTATCTATATGATTCTCTTTATTGCTGACCTTTGCTTCTTGGTGAGGATTTGCATTACCATATGACATCACTTCCTTGTAGCCTGTATGAGAGACTTCTTTTAGTATTTCTTGTAAGGAAGGTCTGCTGACAATAAATTCTCTCAATCTTTGTTTATCCAGGAATGTTTTTATTTCACATTCATTTTTGAAATACAGTTTTGCTAGATGTAGAATTCTTGTTTGACAGATTTTTTTTCTTTCAGCATTTTGAATATATAATTCCACTATCTTCTGGCCTCCCCTCATTTTTGATGAGTAGTCTGCTATTAATCTTATTGTGGTTCTCTTGTATTCAATGAATTGGTTTTCTCTTACTGCATTCAAGATTTTCTCTTTGCCTTTGATTTCAACAATTTGACTATGATGTGTCTAGGTATTGATATGTTTGTGTTTATCTTACACAAGATAAATTTTTTGAGTTTCTTGGATGTGTAGATTAATGTTTTTCATCAAGTTTGGGAAATGTTCAGTCATTATTTCTTCAGGAATTTTTTATGCCTCCTTTTCTTTCTCCTCTTCTTGTGAGACTCTAATTACATGTATGTTAGTATGCTTGATAGTGACAAGTCTTTGAAGCTTTGTTAATTTTTCTTCATTCTTTTTCTTTTTTTCAGATTGGACAATTTCTATTGATCTATTTTGAATTCATTGATTCTTCTGTTAGCTGAAATCTTCTGTTGAGACCCTTTAGTGAAGTCTTCATTTCAGTTATTGTAATTTTCAACTCCAAAATTCCATCTGCTTCTTTTTTGCAATCTCTGTCTTTTTATTGAATCATTGTTATCATACTTTCTTTGAATATGGTTCCCTTTTATTCTTTGAATATACTTATGATAGCAGTTTTGAAGTCTTTTTCTGCTAATTCCAACATCTAAAACTTTTCAGAGGCAGTTTTTATTGACTGCTTTTTTCCCTGTGTATGGATCATATTTTTCTGTTTCTTTGCATATGTTTTAATTTTTGTTGAAAACTGGATATTTTAGATAATATATTGTAGCAACTCTGAATTCTGATCCCACCTAGGATTTTTTATTCTGCTGTTTGTTTAGTGACTTGCCTAGACTGATTCTGTGAAGTCTACCTCTGCCCACAGTGTGCAGCTGCTGAAGTCTCTGCTTACTTTTTGTCTTTTGTATTCCTTTCTTTTATTTGTATGCCTGGCTTCCTAGGGGTTGCTTCTGGGCCAGCATAGTTTACTGATCAGCCAGTGGTCAGAGTATGTACTTAAGTGCTTGAGCCAGTAAGGATTCCACATTTTGCCAATGTATCTGTGTGGGCTGGGAAATGTATTTGAAGTTCAGGCGTTTAAAAGTCTGCCCCAGCTCTTACTTTCCATGTGGGTAAGGCCTCATGTTCTTCCAGGGATGAGTAGATAACTTGGGCCCTCTTTGACTTTTTCTAAGTGAGTGTAACTTGTGCATTCACACAGTCTTCTAGACCCCCGGGGTGTGTGATAGTTTATTAAGGTGCACTTTGGTTTTCTCTTTCCCTGGATCATCCTGTTATGTTTCTGTCTGATCTGCTTGTCTACTGCTTGCCATGACCAGTATTAAGACCTCAAGCTTGCTGTGATGTTGGCCCTCCCTGATTGTTTGTCACTGAGATCACTATTGCTTTTGATAAGACCTATAGGAATGGAATTTTTTGTATGTTTTGATCCAAATAAAATTAGTCCCCTTTGGCAGCAAAGCTACTGGTCTTCATGGCTTGCCCTGCCCTAACAGAACTATTTCCGATTGAGCTGGTGAGGGGAATGGGAGCACCCCAAGCTAAAATGCCACAAAATCTCACTGTTCTTACCTGATGTCCAGTAGTTTTTCTTGGATAAATGCTTCCCAATTTGTTGTATGCTTTTGGTAATTTTCTGAAGTCCTCAAATAGTTGGTTTTGTTTTTTTTTTTACAATTTCGTACAGTTTTATCATTGCTTTTTGGAGAATGGCTTTGCTGATCTTCTCACTCAGCCAGACATTCCAGGAGTCTTGCCTCTCTGTTTGCTAATATTTTATCTAAGATTTTTACATTGATAATCATAACTGATATTAGTCTTTAATGTTCTGATTTATTTTATCTTTATCAGATTTAGCTACCAAAGTTCTACTTGCTTCATAAAAAGAATTAGAAATTCTCCTTGATTTTCTATGCTCTGGAACAATTTATGTAGCAGTGGGACTGTCTGGTCTTTGAAGGTTTGGTAAAATTCTTTGTTGAAACCATCTGGTCCTGGGGCTTTTGGGAGGATGCTCCATGGTAACTTACTCTGTTTTAGTCTATGGAAATTTGTATCTGTAACATTTCCATTCCTATTTGGGTCAATTTTAACATACTGTATTTTCCTAGGAAATTATTCATTTCATCTAGATTTTAAAATTTATTTGCGTAGAGGAGTGCAGAATTGTCTCATGTTTCTTTTAATTCCCTCTATTTCAATGACAGTTTCCTTCTAGTCACTTCTTATTTTGTATATTTGTGCTCCCCCCATTTTATTGATTAGATTGGCTAGTGGGTTGCCCTTTGTTTATTTTGTTCCCCAAAAAACCAAGATTTTTAGTTTTTAAAATTAAATCTACTATTTCTCTGTACTCGATTATTTTCTACTTTTGTCTTTATTTTTGCAATTTCTTTTGGTTTTCTCGCTTGTTCTTTTTCTCACTTTGAACTGGGTATTTAGTTTGTTTATTTTCATTCTGTCATTTTTATCAATATAACTGTTTTAATAGAATTTACGATTCTGGGTGGAATTGACCATTCAGTTATTTCAGGTACTTGGTGGACCCTTTCAATATGTAGATTCAGGTGTTACTTTATTTGTGGATCTTTTCTTGGATTATAATCTTTTTTTAGAGATTGGCACCTGTGCTAACATCTGTTGCCAATCTTCTCTTTTTTTCCTCCTTCTTCTTCTCCCCAAACCTCCCAGTACATAGTTGTAGATTCTAGCTGAGAGTGCCTCTGGTGGTGCTATGTGGGACGACACCTCAGCATGGCCTGATGAACGGTGCCATGTCCGCGCCCAGGATCCAAACCAGCGAAACCCTGGGCTGCCGAAGCAGAGCACATGAACTTAGCCACTCGGCCACGGGGCTGGTCCCTGGATTGTAATTTTAATATTAGTACTGTAGTGTTGGTTTTTTTTCTTTCTTTGAGGAATCTAATAAAATGTATATTGCAACTTCTTTGCCAATCTTCTATTTCAACCACTTTTTCCATGATTCTTTTTACTTCTTCTTTTTTTATTCTCTTAGTTTTTTTCAGACCACATTTTTATTTCAATGTCACTTATTAAATTTTAACTTGAATCTCTTTTCCCCTAGGAATCTTGTAAATAAGGCTTCATTTCTGAGATGGTTTTACCTTTTGCTTCAGTTTCTTTCCTGAGTACAATCAATCAATTCTTATGTCATTTTTTCTATATTTTCATCCATTTCTGTCTTATGTTTTAAGGCAAAATGTTTGAAATAAACTTGATATCTAATATTAGAGGGACACTCAAATTATGGTACATCTGTTAAATGGAAAACAGTACCAGTGAATAAAAGAATGAAGAAATTCTTTTGTGTTTCCCTGCACTGATCTCCACGATATTAAGTGAAAAAAGCAAGTTACAGAACAGTGAGAATAATATGCTACTATTTGTTTTATATATATATATGAATATACATATATTCATAGATTAACTTTTTATTTTTTTTAAAGATTTTATTTTATCTTCCTTCTCCCCAAAGCCCCCTGGTACATAGTTGTATATTCTTAGTTGTGGGTCCTTCTAGTTGTGGCAT